AAAGTTTGTGATACATTCCCTAAAAATTTAGTTGTCCTGTTTCTGCTTATATGTATACTCCTCAAAATGTATAATCCTTCATATATCCAAGTGTATCCACATCTAAACCGTCAATTGTTGGGCCCTTGAAAGGTGAAACTGTAACTGCTACAACTGACTGGCTATGGACAAAATAGCACTGCCATCCACTCATTTTTTGGTTTCAGTCCTATGCTTTCAACAATAATCATGTCTTGTCATGTCAATTATAAATTGTACCTATAGGCCTAATCACAATATAATAATTTTCTGTTTCAATGTTTCTACAGGTTTCTCAGAGTAGTCCAGAGGAAAGTTGTACAGGGCCACCATCTGGACAAAAGAGACCGGCAAGTTAACTAGTTATATGCTGAATAATAATAGAATACATGCTATGGGACAAGTTATAACCTGTAACAGGATCTGTAACTTAAATATTGTTTTGCTTTTCAGCAGGCCCAGAGAAATCCCTCTTTCCCAAGCTTTGTGGATAGTAAGTTCTGTTTTATTTAAACACAATTGAATATTGTGTCTCAAACCTTTAAAGATTTGAAAAATGCATGATAAATTGGAATAGTATTGATATTAGAGTTAGGTTCAGAGTATTAGCTCAAATTTCAGGTGTTTTATTAGTCTAGTTGTTTATCCTGCTCTTTGCATTTGTTTATTAGTCCCTGGTCCATGTGAGCCAGAAGATCTCATCAATGGAATAATCTTTGCCGCAAACTACCTCGGCTCTACCCAGCTGCTCTCTGACAGAAACCCGTCCAAAAGCGTGCGCATGAAGCAAGCTCAGGAAGCTGTGGACTGTGTTAAGGTATTTATAAGATTCTCCACACAAAAATATTTGAATATTTCTGCTGCCTTGGCGAGGCTCTTGTGAATGAACGTTACTTGAAATGTGCTTTATGGTTTAATATTTTGTGGATATACTGTAGAATGTTGTCAGAAGATCCCTCTCAGTCCACTAGATGACACTGTAACCTTTGTGAAACCATGTTCTTTAGTCTGTAGAGGGTGAAGCTCAGAGCTTGACAGAGATTGACTTGTTCATCTCAACCAAGGCCATCAAGGTGCTCAATGCTGACACACAGGTCGGTAAATTTCATTTAAGTCTGGTAATTGTGTGAATATATACAATATTTTGTCAAATATACAGTCAGAGCTGTGGTGCAGATGTACTAACACTTTCCTGTTGCTTTCCACTTTACTATCCATAAAAAGACAGAATGCACTATTAAAAAGAACTGGATTTACATTAAAGGACAAGTTACAGAATTGATGCTTAGCTACATACTTTTCATTGACTGACTCCTGATCCTTGTTCACAGGAGACGATGATGGACAACGCCCTCCGCACCATCTCCTACATCGCAGACATCGGTGACGTGGTGGTCCTGATGGCTCGCAGGCGTCTGTCTAACTCCTCCTCGCTCGACTGCACAGATTCAGGCCTCAGCACAGAAAGTCGGAAGCAGTACCGCATGATGTGCTACGTCTTTGAGTCAGAGGATGTGAGATTGATCTTTTCTTATAATAACCAATAATAAGAATGAAAGTGAATAATGTTTACCATGAATTAATTTTATAAAGAAAAGATTAAAGCTTAAGTGTTTTTTTT